AACAAAAAATATTGAAATATTTGATATGTTACGTAGCGGGAAGAGGAGGAGTATGATATCATATCGTATTATAACGTTTCTTCTATGTTCAAAAACTGTTTACACATCAATATTTTTTTGTGACAAGTTTGTTTGATTTGTCCGTATAGTTGGTTGATGATGTGTATTACCCCCGCCCCACCCCGACACATACACAAAGTCATCGGCATGAGGATATCACATACCGTAGTATAGACAGATGGCAATTTGTCACGTGAATTCAACTATTAATTAGATATTATGCACAACCATCATGCGGACCATAACTAATGTAAAACTGAAATTGTTTAAATAATGACCTACCATTACCAATTCCATCATCCTCTGATGAGCTCCTACCACCTGCGTTACCACCTAGTTGACCGCTCTTATCACCACTAGCATCCTCAGCTGATTTGGAGTTGCTACCAACTGCGTTCCCACCATGTGGACCACGCTTCCCACCATTTGGACCACTCTTCCCAAATAAATTTAACAAAATAAATCAGTTTAACGAAGTTTTATTTGGCTTCGAAACGTAAAATAATATGTGCATCCGATCCACGCGATTACGCACTCGCAGGTCTTGCAAAACCATACTATGGCTATGAAAAAATGTCCAAACAAGCGCCCTCTATGTAATAAATACAATCGAATAAAAAAGATAAATATTTCGTTCATGGTTGGCCTAAATCCGTAAACGGAGCCTAAGTCTTGCCATATACCGACTTTAAAGCGATGGCTAGGCCTAAGCCTCTTTTTATTTATTGTCCAATATATCGTAAGGTAATGAATACTATTTTTGATTGAAGCAACCGCTAGCTGTACAGTAGTAAAGATCTAGGCCTAGATCTGCTCGTGGCTTGACAGCTGAGAGTGTGAGAGATCTGATGTTGCGGGCATATATATCGTCGTCTCGCCCGTTTCTCCAAATTATGCCTTTTTACCGATTTTACGCGTGCATCTGGCTCGATTTTGATAAAAAAAATACATGTTTGTTTTAGATTTTATGTTCTAAATGTTAATTTTGGCAGTGATCTCGAATTTGTACTTGAACAAAATTGAAAAAAAAAAAAAATGCCGACCCGAAATGTGGTTTTGTGTTTGAGAATTTGAGAATGAGTTTAAGTTCGGTAATACGGCGATTTTTCAATGATGTAAAAGTTGTTAGCTATAAGAGTAAGGCCTACACTTAATGTCATTGATGCTGTGATTGGCAAAATTAAAATGAGGGACAATGGGAAGGTTTTTATTTGTTCAGATTGATGATTTATGGCAAACCTACTTCTAAAAGTGGCACAGATTTCTCCAATGTAGGTACCGTGATCGCATGCGTTTCATGTTATAAAGTAACGTTAGACGAGTCGCATGAAAGAGAAGGATAGTGAATTTTGTGATTGGTGATCTAGAGTGAGGCAGTGCTAGCATGAGTTACAATATGTTTGCAAATTTGACAACGGTGCTTGTTACATTTTATGTTACCATGTAAAGGGTGCTTTGGTGGTGCGTGAACATGTTAAAAGGGTTTTCAAGTTGGGTGGTTGACGGTAAGCGAGGAGAGTTGGAGTGTTGTACAAGTGTTGTATAGATTTGTCAAGTTTCAGATGAGCAAAGTCGGTTTTAATGGT